GCAACAACTTCACGCAATACGTGGTAATAAATCGTGAGAGCGTAGTTACAGTTGGAAGTACCAGACACAATAATACTCTTACTGGCACCATCTTCGCTTGGAAGGCGGCGACCAATATCAACAACAACAAATCGGTAAAGCAATTCCCATTGACGCTGAGATACCAAACCAGCCGACGTTACGTCATCAAGACCGCCATCAACACCCAACTTCGACTGGAAATTTTCAAGCGAAGAAGGAAAATAGCTTTTCAGCAGAGGCAGCAAAAGATGAAACCACCAGAGAACATGCTGGAGTAGTCACTCAGTTAGTTTCAGAATTTCGCTCCAAGTTTTAAGCCCTCCTGCTTCGTGTCTACAACCTTATCACTCCGGGAGATGGTCCGCTTCACCTCTCGATCGTACTTACACTTGACGCCCGAGTTGATTGATGGGGAGTACACCCAGCCATTCTATGCGCAGGTGGTGCGTCTTGACGGTGCTGATGTGGCGTTTCGCAGCCTTGAAGGCTCCGAAGGGCCGAATTAGTCGCGACGTTGCAAGCTAACATGTCGTATCTGCAGGCGAAGTCAAAGCGTCAGGGAGGCGCTCATTGCTGCGGTGCTCTGTGTCGGCAATAATTGGGGAGCAAGTTCACTACGGCCAAGTTATTAAGGTTGATGGTGACAATCTGACCATCCGCTCTGAGGGAGAGGAATTGGTTGCTGGCCTGGCCGATACCGCCAGGCGCGCACCCATCGTCGTTTTACTTCTTGAGCATGTTCAATTTAGCCGAGTTGAGTGGAGCAATGAAGAAATCGGAGCCGTGGAATCAACGATTTTAAATAGAGTGCTTGGAAGAGCGGGGTCGGCTGGATCTAACGACATTCCTGCAATTTTTAACGGGCTCATGACGGAAGATAATTTCCCCGTTCCAGCGAAGGCGTGCCGGTGGATTAATCCAAGGACGGGTCAACAAACAAAATTCCCGCTTCAACACGCAGTGGATTTCGCTCATTTTGTGGACGGGGGTTCGCAACTAGTACCTGCTAACGTCGGTGAATACTTTTTTCAACCACCAGCACCTCAAGCCCCAGTCGTTCGACCGACCAACGTCCAGAGGACCTCGGTAGCGGAAGTACAAGAGTTGTTTGATCCCTTTTTAGACGATGACGAGTCGCCGCAAGAACCGGCAGTAACTGACTCTCGCTTTAACCGCCAGGAGGTTCCAACAGGAGGCAGCGCGAAACGGTCACGAGAAAGGTTGAACGATGTTCCCACCGAACCTAAGCGCTTTCGGGCAGTTTTGGACCAGGACATGCTAATTATAGAGAAGCTTCGTGGCACGCCGGTCCTACTAGAGCGCTTCCAAAATATTCGGCAAGGCGCGGCCAGCGACGTTAACACCGGAGACGACGAGGATTAGCGAAATACAAAGGTAAGCCTGCTACAGTATTTGTCAAAAGTATGATCCGGTCCGAGCACGTGGCATTCAAGGCACTTCCTGGAGTTTGTACTCGGCTATTCGACATTCAGTTCGGTTTAAGTGGTTTATCAATCCGACATTTCGCCAGATTATCGCAGTCAGACCGCATCCACTGGCTGGAATCGGGCGGTTCCAATTTCGATAATTTGTCTGCTACGGCAGAGTTCGGGCGAGCAATACCTGCTTCACACATCGATGATGTCATCGATTCCGTGAGGGTTTTTCTGATGTATGCTCGTGAGTATTGCTGTCTCGAACTGGTCGAGTTAGTCGAAAACATCGTGGCCTTCATTGAACAAACTCTTAAGCAAGTCAGCTGGAGCTCAGACGACCTTTCGGTGTTGGTCTACTGGGTAAATGATCTTCTAGAAGATTTTCGAGCTGCCGCGGAAGTAGGTAGTGGTCTTAGCCAAGTCACTCGCCGCTGTTCCACCGATGATCGGCAACTCAGGGACCTAATGTTCGTCAAAGTGCATCGTCAAGTAGAGTCCATGTCGGTGGGGGCATCTGTGGTAGCTGCTGTCCATTCTGAAGAGCATTCAAAACCTGCACATCACGAGCAGAAACATCGTACAACAGACGACAAGAGGCGTTTGAGTCGGATTCCAAGGAATGTCCTAAACCAACTGCCAGTGCAGGTTGTTCCTGGTTCCGGTAAGCCTCGTAGCCTATGCATGCGATTCTTGTCAAAAGTCGGTTGCAATGTCACGCAGGACGGCAGTTGCCCCCACAACCGTGGCCACTTTGTGCCAAACAAGTTACCAAACGACGTCAAATCTACCATTATCCAGCGATTTGGAGGTCTGAAAGACAAATATAAATAACTCTGACTCCTGGAGGGACGACCAGCTGTGCGTCTTCCTTCAGTGTGTGCGGCATCTCGTCGGGTAACAGGCCATGACAGCGAACCGATACATGTGGCGGAACCAGCATGCTTCGTCGCCAAGGGCCCGTTGGGCGCGAACACAGCAGACATTGAGACAACGAGTAAGGTTGGCGCGACTCACCCCTCAAAGGAAGTACATCGTGACAGATCCCTGTCATCAGATGAAAACGTGGAGGGGGGGAGGGGGGGGGGAGTCGTTTAGGCGTCGACTGAAGCCTTGTTCTCAACCTCAATCATATGCAAAGAGCAAGTTCGACGTGGGAACCTGTAGTATATGCTTTCAGCAGGAACAACACATCGGTGAGAAACCTGTGTTTAGTACAACTTTGGCTGGGCAAGACACAGGTAGCCGTCGTTCGAGGCCTTGCGTTCACTCAGTTCCACCAGCGTCTACCACTCTTAGGGTAGCAGCCCATATCAACGAAAAAAGCAGTATCGTACGTCGACAATTGGGTAACGAGCAAGTATCACGAACGAGACCAGTGAGGGTGTCATCAACGTCTTCTTCAACGGTCATCGGTGGTCTTGACCCTACGGATTCTGCGAAAGAACTTATCTCGCTTTCAAAGGTGACAGCAGAAACAATTCGGTCCAAACTAGAAGAAGAACTTCTACGACAGGAGTGCAAAATTACTTTGTCCCAGCGTAAAAAGGGTTTTCTTCGCTCACCAAAAAGCCCAAATTCGCAGTTTGAAGTAGACAAACTCGAATGTACAACTCTTTCTCGGATCATTCGCAGCCAAAATTGGAGCTTAAAAGCCGCAACACAATTTCTAAGAGGAGAAGACGAAGGTGAGCCAAGACCGAATAAGGCACTTGATCCTGATCGCCTGCGGCTGGTGTTACAGGGATATCCTCATCTCGACCTGTTAATTCGCATTGCTGAACGGGG